TCTCTCTCTCTCTCTCTCTCTCTCTCTCTCTCTCTCTCTCTCTCTGTACTGGGGATCAAACTCAGAACCTTGCACTTGCCAGGCAGGTGTGGTGCCACTGACCTACATCCTCAGCATGAATGTATTTTCTTTTTCTTTTGTCTTTTTTGGTACCGGGGATCAAACTTGAGACGTTGTGCTTGCAAGGCAGCCGGCGCAACCACTGAGCTAAATCCCTGGCCCTGAATGTATTTTCTTTAAACAATTGCTCAATGAATTTTAAGAACATAAAATGCACTTAAATGCACTTAAAGAAATGTTCATTTTTTCTGAACTGTATTACCTTTTAGTTTTAAATGTGCATTTTAAAATATATGTATGGTTATCAGTTTAGAGCTGTAAAACTGCCATTCACACCAAGATACTGAATATTAACTGGGCATTGGGCTGGGGATTTAGCCCAATGGTTCCGTCGCCTGCCTCACAAGCTCAAGGACCTGAGTTTGATCCCCGGTACCAAAAAAAAAAGCAGCTAAAATAATTTTTTGGGCCAGGGATTTAGCTCAGTGGCACTGTGCCAGCCTCAAAAGCAAGCGCGAGGTCCTGAGCTCGATCCCCTGCACCGCAAAAAAACTGGGCATGGTGGTGCAGGCCTGTTATCTCAGCACTAGAGAGGCTGAGGCGGGAGGATCACTGTGAGTTCCAGGCCAACCTGGGCTACATAGTGAGTTCAAGGCCAGCCTGAATTGCATAGCGAGATCCTATCTTCAAAAAAAAAGATACTGAACACTGATCATACCTATGAATGTCATGTTATTTATCACAGTGTCTTAAATGTGAATATCTTCTAATATCCTATTTCTGCCTAACAAAAATGTTGCTTTCTATTTCTATGACCTAAAGAGTTTGTGTCACCTTTAACACATTCCTGCCAGCTTGAACCCCTGATGGTAGACGCATGACTATCCCATCCGGCACGCCGTACCACTGGTGGTACAAATGAATCTGATAATCATTTTTATTAGTCTTTTTTTTTCTGGTACTGAGGATTGAACTCAGAATCTTTTGTTTGCCAGGCAGGCACAGCACCACTGAGCTACATCCCCGGCCCTTACTTTTATCAGTCTTTTTACTAATAAAATTAATAAAGAACTGCCCAATGGGACAGTCATGCATGTACTACAGGTTGTTTAAGCTGCCCAGCAGTGAGTGACATGAGACATGAATCACAGCCCAGCTTTTAACCTTTTAACCTACAAGTATAGGTATATTGGACCAGTGGTTGAGTTTTTACTCAATTTAGATCTTATTAACTGGAAATTTAACCAGTTTATGAGTATGGTAATTTACCTCTCCTTTTTTTGTGTTTTTTTTTTTTGGCTTTTTTGAGACAGGGTCTCCCTATGTAGTCCAGGCTGTCTTCCAAGTTGCAGTAGTCCTCCTGCCAAAAGCTCCTTAGTGCTGAGATTACAGGAATGCAACACCACACCCAACTTAATATACTTTCTTAACCCTGAATTTATGAGAAAATGTTTTCCAGTTGCCTCCATACAGAAATATTAACTTGGCAGGGTGTATAATGCTTGGTTCAAGATTATTTTCCCTTAAACTCTGCAGATATTGTTCTGCTATCCTCTGGCATCTGGAATTGCAAGAGGAAGGTCTGATTTTGGCTCCTTTGTAGGTAACCTGCTTTCTGTGTCTTGTGTTGCCCAACGAATGGCACAGTGTCCAGTGCCTCCACATTCTTTCTGTCCTGCCCAAAGAATGGCCAGGACCAAGGAACAGTTAAATGGAAATTTATATTTATTTATTTAATTTTTTTTAGTATCTCAAAAATCATTAAACTTTATTTGCTTCAGAAATATGGAACGCTTCATGAATTTGCATGTCATCCTTGTGCAGGGGCCATGCTCAACAAGAAGCAATTTTTTAAAAAATCATAGATTTAGCTGAAGGTAAAGCTAATTGGTATAGTGTGTGCTTAGCATGTTTGAGCTCTGGGCTTCAATCACTTGCATTTCTAAAAAACTAAATATTAAATAAAAATTAAAATGCTTTATTTCAGAACTCTGGGAAACTGAGGCAGAAGGATCACAAGGTCAAGTCTGTCTAGCTTGGGCAATTTATCAACTTAGTAAGACACTATCTCAAAATAAAAAATATAAAGGGGCTGAAGGGGTAGCTCAGTACAGTGGCCTGGGGTTCAATCCCCAGTACCCCAAAAAAAGAAAAACACATAGATTTAAATAACGAAACAAAGACATAGGTTTAAATAATAAACTTTTAAGAAATGTGTACAGGCCAAGCATGGTGGCACATGCCTGTAATCCTAGCACTTGGGAGGCTGAAACAGAAGGATCACCAAATGTTCCAGGCCAGCTTGGGCTCCATAGTGAGTTCAAGGCCAGCCTGAACTACATAGCAAAACTAGCAAAACTCTGTTTATAAATAAATAAATAAATAGTGTCCACTGATAAAGAAAGGGCCGGCAATAAATCTGGTAAAACTATAAGCAGTTTTTCCCTTGTTTGGGGATCCATCTGAGGTGTGACTGCTTTGCTTTAGGCTCTTGGTATTTAGGGTCCTTCTGAAATTCTCTTTTGCACTTAAGTAGCAGTTTGAGGAAGGACTGAGGAGTGTCTAAGGCCAAAAGGCTGCTTCCCAGCACACCTTGTCTACTGCAGCCTCTCCTTGTGGGTAACACCCGGCCCGGGGATACTGTCCCTCAGCTACATGCATGCCAGGCCCTCCTCAGGCACCAGCTCCTTGACTCTTCGGAACTTCCTTCCCAAGCCCCAAGCCTCATCAGAGGCACGCTTTCCCCTTTACTCCCCACAGCTTTGACTCCTTGGATTCCAAGCCCCTGGAAACAGAGGAAGAAATAAATTTTCCCCAGGGTGAGAGGATCAGTCCAAGAGACAGTGGTTAATGCTCAGGACTCTTGTGAAACTTGGTCCTAGGAGGAGTGCAGCTTGGGAAGATACCAGCATGCCCATGCCCTTCCAGCTGCTGTTCACAATGTCACTGGAGGAGTGGGCGGCTACAGTTTAGGGAGCAGACACAGGAACAGCTTCTGTGCTGATGGAGACATCGAACCTCCCTGCCAAAAGCCCCATCCCACGGAGCTGAGCCAGCCTCCAGCCTTATGGAAAATACTCTCCATCTAGCTTTGGCGGTGCTTCCCACATGGGGCATGGGGCATCTTCCAGCAACCGCTTCCCAGGCAAACTTGGGCAACCCAGCCCTTTGTCTTAGTATTTGCTAAATCCAAATAGGCTTTATAGCAAGGGTTATGGTGTGACATAGTTTTTGAATCTGAGAATCACGTTCTTTTAAAATATGGTTTGTTGTTGTTCTGTTTTGTTTGAGACAGGATCTATGTAGTTCAGGCTGATCTTGAACTTACTGTGTAGCCCAGGCTGCCCTTAAACTCACAGCGATCCTTCTGCCTCAGCCTCCCAAGTGCTGAGAATCACAGACTTTCATGCTTGTCCTATGTGGCTGCCTGATGTTGATGTTGCCAGATTACAGTGATGAGACACTAATCCTCTTTGGAGCTACTGACCAGCTTACTCTGTTTTTGGGTTTTTGCTGATGGAACTCAGGGCCTCCCCCATGGTAGGCAAATGCTCTGTCACTGATAACAGCTCACACTGAAATCCTCAGGCTGGTAGTTTTGAATGTGCAGGGTAAGTAAGGGCAGGCATTAGTAGAAAGTGGCAGCATTATAACTTGACTAGTGCTCCCTGACCTAAACCCTAAAAGGGTTTAACATGTGACTCTGAGGAATCAAGAGTGAGTTAATCCACCTACTACACTGAAGCTCTTCTGATAGGGAAATTTCATTTGAAAATTGCCACTTGTGTTGATTACATGGTCTGCTCAAGTTGCAAATTCAGTAGACTTTTAAAATCAAAAATTACCATCTCCTGTATCACCACATTATGGAGAATGGTTCAATGATAGAATCCTCTTCCTTTGTCACTTCCCAACACCTTCCAACCAAACCCCACCCCATCCCCAAAGAACACAGGCAAAGATGTGTCACATAAATAGTGTATTGCAAACTCAGATATGGAGCATTAGTGGGCTTGATGATTCACATAGGAGTATTCTGGGATGGGTGGCAGAAGGAGGGAGGGGTGCAGTGTCAGGACACATGGCTTCAAGCCATCTGCTGGGTCACTGTTGTGGTCAGCTAAGCTTCCTGGGGCATGAAGGAGCAGCTCAGGCCAGGCAACTGAGCCTCTTGCATGGCAGGGCAGGGTAGCTTCCAGGCCTTCTTTCCACCTAGTTTGTGCTCCTGTGCTGTGAGGGAGGCTTGGGGAGGTGAGGCTTGTGCATAGGCTCCAGTCTCATCTGTGGCTGGGGAAGCCCTCAAAGCCTCTGGGCTTCACGGCAGAATCTTCAGGCAGGTCTGGAGGAGGGAGGAGGCCTGGGCCTGGGCGGGCTGCCCCTCCTCAGTGGCATCCAGGAGCTGCTGCATGTAGCAGGAGGTGCCGAGCAACATGTGGCCTGTGGCCCGCATGCCGAAGAGGACCCAGCAGAGCACTTCCCTGGGGAGGTGAGGGAGGCACCTGAGTGAAAACCAGAAGAACACCCCATACCTGCCTCCCCATGTCTCCTCCCACATTCCCACAGTGGCCTAGAGGAACAGGTTTCAAGTTAGCATTCTTTTGGTTTTTGTTTTGTTTATTTGAGATAGGGTCTTACTATGTAGTCCAGGTCAGCCTTAAATTCATTATGTAGTACAGGCTGGCCTTGAACACATGATCCTCCAGCCTCAGCCTCCCAAATAAGGGGATGGAGATTATAGGTGTATGCCACATGCCTAGCCATTTAGCAGACACTCTATCACTGAGTGACATCCCAAGTCCTGCATTTTTCTTAATGTCCCTTTGGGCCAATCAGGTTAATCTACATCACATGATTCTATCCTTCATGACATTCTGCTCCAGACTTCAGACTTTCCACATCATTTGTGGAAACATAAACTGAGAGAACAGACCCTGAGCTAGACAGCCTGAGCACTAGGCCAGTGTCAGTGGTGCTGGGGCTCAAACCCAGGGCTTTGAACATGCTAGGTAAGTACCACATCCCCAGCCCAGGCTTTTTAATCCAGTCTTATTAAGGAGGTAAACTTTAGCAAACTGCTTAAGTTCTTGTTTAAATTCTACATTTATTTTATGTTTGTTTTTTATCTAAACTTCTCTAGTTGTGAGCGTCAGCTTCCTCTCATGTAAAATGGGTTATGAGGTTGAAATAGCAAAAGGAACTTAGGTTGCAGGCTGATGTATAGAAAGTAAGGCAGTTGTAGAGTCAAGAGCAGCTGCTGAATGCTAGGCAAACTTTAACTGAATTCCTACCAGATCTGTTTAAAAGAGATGGGGAAGGCTCACTAGTAGTGTTTAGACCTAGGAGAACAGGGGAGCGAAACACTAAAGGAAAAGAAATACTTCCTGGATTCCTTTTTCCTTTCTTTCCTTCTTTTTTATTCTTCTTCCCACTGCTGGGGATTGAATCCAGAGCCTAGCAGATGCTACACCTCCAGTTATGTCCCCAGTCCTTTTATTCTTTTGAGACAGGGTCTCACTAAGTTACTGAATTTCAGCTCAGACTTGGCTCAAATTTGTAATCCTCCCAGAGTGCTGGGATTACGGGCATCCATCACCCTACCCAGCAAAATTTAAGGCTTCTGTTAACCTTCAATCAATAAGTGAGTTTATTTTCTTGTTGGAGTTAGGGAGATCAGAAAGACACTTAGAACTATGAACACTTACAAATAAAAATATTTTAGGGTTGGTGGGTCCTCTGTTTGTAGACTAAGATTTGCACAGCATGTACAAGACCCTGGGTTCAAAATTTTTGGAAGGCTATCCCTGAGAAGTATACTCCTTGCTGAAACTAAAGAACTGAGGCCTTAAACCCACCTGAACAGCCTTAAAAAGGAATGGTACAACATGGATGAACCTTGAAAACATTAGGCTAAGTGAAAAAAGGCAGACACAAAAGATCAAATAGCATCTGATTCCACTCTTATGGGGTAGCTAGAATACACAAAGTAAGAGACAGAAATAGAATAGTAGTTCTAGTACTATTAGAACTAGAAAGTAGAATAGAGGTTACTAGGGTCTAGGGGTGGAGGAGTGAGAGTTATTATTTAATGGTCACAGTTTCTGTTAGGGATGATGAAAAAGTTCTGCAAATTGATAGTTATGATTATTGCACAACATTATAAATGTGCTTAATGCCACTGAATTGTACACTTTAAAATGGTCAGAAAGATGAACTACAGATGTAGCTTAGTGGTGGAGAGTTTGCCTAGCAAGCACAAGGCCCGCAGTATAATCCCCAGCACTGAAAATTTAAAAAAGTCATGCTAAATGGCCGGGGATTTAGCTCAGTGGTTCCACCACCTGCCTTGCAAGCACAAGGACCCGAGTTCAATCCCCGGTACCCCCCCCCCCAAAAAAGTCATGCTATATATATTTTACCATAATGTCTTTTTTTTGTGTGCCGGGAATCCAACTCAGGGCCTCACGCTTGCCAGCCAAGTGCTGTGCCGCTGAGCTACGTCCCCAGTCCTACTACAATGTCTTTAAAAGTATAGAGACACCATTGTCACTAAGTGACTCCAGCTGCGCTTCCCCTTTTTTGGTATTGGGTGTTGAACCTAGGCCTTTGCACTGACCTACATCATCCTCAGCCCTTTTTTTTTTTTTCTTTTGGTACTGGGGATCGAACTCGGGACCTTGCCCTTGAGAGGCAGGCGCTGGAACCACTGAGCTAAATCCCCGGCCCTCAGCCTTTTTTAAAATTTTGATGCAAGATCTCAGTAAATTGCTAAATTGTCCAGGCTGGGCTCAACTTGCAATGCTCCTGCCTCAGCCTCCAAGTGCCGGAATTGCAGGCAAGCACCACCATTGCTATTGCTTTTTGATACCATTGTATCTATTGTGTTTAGGTCTGAGAGTTTCACTTCCTCTAGATGGACTGAGTCCAAGGCTGAAATTTCTTTCTCTAGATTTTGAAATCTGTCGAATATGGCAGCAATCCCAGACCTAGAGGAGCAGGATATGCTGATCTGATGGAGGGAGCTGCAGAAGGGGCTGCAGCCTGCCACTGACTGCTGGCTCTGGCACACAGCCATGCAGCCTTAGTCCCCTTATCTGAGACTGGGTATGCAGAGGGCAAACCAAGAAAGCCAGGCCAAATGTGGTGGCACAAACCTGCACATCCCAGAACCGAGGCAAGCACATCACAAATTCAAGCCCCACCTGAGCAACTTAGCAAGCCTCTGTCTCAAAAGAAAAAATAAAAAGCACTGGAGATACAGCTTAATGTGAAGACCCTGGGTACAACCCCCAGTACCCTCCCCCCCAAAAAAGAATCTATAAATTTTTTTTTGAGACAAGGTCTTGCTATGTAGTTCAGATGGCTTTGAATTCACTATGTAGTCCAGGCTGGTCTCGAACTTGTGGTGATCCTCCTGCCTCAGCCTCCCGAGTGCTGAGATTACAGGAATACACCACCATGCCTGGCAAAAATCTATAAATTTAACTCATCATTATTATTATTATTATTTTTTTGGTACCGGAGATTGAACTCGGGTCCTTGCGCTTGCACAGCAGGCAGCGAAACCACTGAGCTAAATCCCCGGCCCTAACTCATCAATATTGATGGATCTGTATATGTATATATGTATGGGTTTTTTGTTTGTTTGGTTGGTTGGGTTTTTTTGCTACCGGGAATCAAATTCAGGTCCAGACACCACATACATCCCCGGCTCATGTATGGGATTTTGAATTGAACTGATTGTAACCTCTTGCTAAATCTTGTCACGAATTAATGCATTGAATAAAATCTTTGACACATGTTTGTTTTATAAAAGCTGATTAGCTGGGAGCGGTGGCTCAGTGGTAAAGCCCTTTCCTAGCCCATTCCTAGTCTTCATTAGAAGAGTACTTTGGAAAACTTCCTTTTTAGGTGAAAAACTATAGTTTGCCATGGTAGAAGGTAATGATAAACATATTCAGGCTCCACCAGGAGGAGTATGTGTCCCCTTTGGCATATGCAGGTGTAATCCAAAGCACACACGCAAGTCACAAGTTCCATACAAATGCTAACTCACACTTTGTTAGCACGGGCACCAGACCTGGGCTCTGAGAAGGCTGAGCTCTGGGTGGCCAGCTAGGGGCTCTGCCACTCCTTGGCTCCCACCCTGACCCCAGTTTATCCCAAGCCACTAACTTTACAATGCGCTTGGCCCTGTAGCAGTGCAGGTCATAGGACAGGGAGTACGTGTTGTAGAGGGTCGCCTTCACATTCAGACAGCCAATGAAGTCCTTTGGGCTCAGTTTGTACAGGTCAAAGGTTATGCGGGCCACATCAATCTTCTTGGAGGGCTTGTCAGAGAGGGAGAGTTGGTACCTAGTCCCCTGCAGCAGGACAAACACATGGTAGGTACTCCTCGGGGACTCCACTCAAGCTCTCCATTTCTCCCTGTGCAGGTAGGACCTCACCTGTTCTGATGGGGGCTGCCATTTCTGCCCCTTCTGGAGGACCATGAATACCGTATTCCCTGCCAGGGCTTGGAAATATCCCTCTGTCTCTACAGCTGTGCCGTCTTCTTCCAGCACCAGGGAGAAGGGCTTGTCTTTTAGCATCAGGATGTCCCGGACCTGAGGAAGAAGGTTAGCGATGGCTGGGGATTTAACTCAGTGGTTTCACTGCCTGCCTTGAAAGTGCAAGAACCAGAGTTTGATCCCTGGTACCACAAAAAAAAAAAAAAAAAGGTTAGCGATGCTTCTGCCATCCCTATGGAGCCACAGAGCTGGTATGGGGAAGACCCACATCACACCACATTCCCTCAGCTGCCAGGGGAGAGTGACCGGGCTCCACGGGTGGCACTGGTACAGGGGCCCTGTGCGTGCTAGGCAAGCCCTCTACCACAAGCCACGTCCCAGCCCTTTTCGCGCTTTTATTTCAAGTCAGGGTCTCGAGTTGCTTAGGCTGACCTCAAATTTTTGATCCTCATCTTCCTGCCTCAGCTTCAAGTAGCTAGGATTACAGAGATTACAGGCATGCGCCATTGTACTGGCCTGTTTTTTGCCGTGTGTGTGTGTGTGTGTGTGTGTGTGTGTGTGTGTTACTGGAGACTGAACCCAGGGCCTTTGCACTGAGCTATTATTTTATTTTTTATTTCGAGACATGGTCTCACTAAGTTGCTAAATTGCCCAGCTTGGGATCACGCTTATAATTCTCCTCCAATTTTTAATTGGGTTGTCTTTTTACTGTTGAGTTGTTAGAGTTTATTATATATATATTTTTTGATAGTTAAGAGTTCTTTATACATTCTCGATCCTTATCAAATACATGATTTGAAATCTTTTTCCCCTTCTGCAATTGTCTTTTTTTTTTCTACTGGGGATTGAACTCAGGACCTCACACTGGCCAGGCCAGTGCTGTGCTGCTGAGCTACATCCCTGTCTCTGCAATTGTCTTTTTACTTTTTAAGAATCTTTATTCACTTTTTTTTTTTGCGGGGGGGTACCGGAGATTGAACTCGCGTCCTTGCGCTTGCAAGGCAGGCGGCAGAACCACTGGGCTAAATCTCTGGCTCTTTTTTCACTTTTAATTGACACATCATAATTGTAGATATTTATGGGAATTAGTGTATTATTTCAAATACATATATAATTTTAGCCCTTACATCTATACGTTTGATCCATTTTTTTTGCGGGGGTGGGGGAATCAAGTTTGGGTCCTTGTGTTTTCGAGGCAAGCGGCAGAACCACTGAGCTAAATCCCCGGCCCATACCTTTGATCCATTTTAACTTATCTCACTTCTAAGAATTAGCTTCACCATCTAAAAAAAATTGAGGCATGTTTAGCCTTGGAGTTGATAGGATGATTACATGCAAGATTAGGCATAAGAACCCTTGAGTTTGCCACGTGGGTTTAAGTCCTAGGAAATGAACTTGGCCTCCACCTCTGGAAAATGGGAATAGTAGTAGTAACTATCTTTTTTTTTGGTACCTGGGATCGAACTCATTTCCTTGTGCTTGTGCAGCAGGCGGCGAAACCACTGTGCTACATCCCCGGCCGAGTAGTAACTATCTTAAGGTTATGATTAGAAGAAATGATATGTCACCTGGCAGAGTACGTAGTCTGTATGTAGCATTTATTACATTTTCATAGTATATTAAGATGGAAAGAGACCCGTGACATGTCATAGAATGAAAAGTCAGGCTATATAGTATATAACCACATTTAAATAAGTTATATATCATAAGAATAGACTATTTAGGGCCGGGGATTTAGCTCAGTGGTTTCGCCACCTGCTGCCCAAGCACGAGGACCTGAGTTCGATCTCTGGTACCTAAAAAAAAAAAAGAATAGACTATTTAGAACATTTAGAAACTCATCATTAATTATTTTGGAGTGACAGAATTCTCACTTTACTTTTCTCATTTGGACTCACTAGGAAATATATTTTGCTGCATAAAATCCTTTAGAAAGGGCACACAGCAGTAATCCCAGCATTTGGGAGGCTGAGGCAGGAGCATTGCTGGAGTTCAAGGCCAGCTTGGGCTACATAGTGAATTCAAGGACAGCCTGGACTACATAGTAAGACCCTGTCCTCTCCCAAAAAAGGGCAGTGGTATGTAAAATAAACAACACACCAATAGCAATGACCAAACCAAGCTCCCAGATCTTGACTTCTGAATACTACTTCCTTCTGAAATAAAGCAGAATTTACTAGGAAAAATGGCCAATCCAAAGACTGCATCAGGAAAGGACAAGATTGGCCTGCAATATCTCTCTGTACTAATCGGCCTCTGGGTAAAGTCTGGGAAGCCAGATGTACCAAGGAACATTGTCATGAGGAGGTGGTCCCCAGAGCCAGGACACAAAACAATAGTAATCCAGAGTAAAATGTGAGTGAGCTTTTTGATTCAAGGCACATAATCTGGCACAGCCAGGAGCCTCACAAAAGAGGGGACACTGGCTTTCTGGAAGAACAGGGCTAATTCAGAGGAATGGGGAGGAAATCTGGAAGAGAGAGTTCGGTCAAATGTGATGTCTGTGTTAAACAGACTCCGGTGACTGAGACCCTAACCAGTGTTGGATCTGTACCAGGCACCTGGGCTTGTGGTACTCACCCCAGAGTGCTTAGAGGTGAGGGGCTGCTGAAGCACATGGCCTCATGACTAACAGAAGAGGAGGCCACAGCACGTGTGGAGGGAGAAGCTACCCCGAGAGAGAGAAGAGGGATGGGACTGGGCCATGTTCCTGCCTGCTGCAGCACTCATGAGAGTTGCATGTTCTCTCTGTTTTCTCCCCTGCTGGCCTCTGATATATGGTTAGAACAAAGCCTTTCATGAAGCTACCACCCTGGGTGACAGATTTAAGAACCGCCCTGGGAGGGAAGCTCTAAAATCCTGCTCATTTCCCCAACTTCTGAGCAGTTCTACACATTTATGTACTACTGGAGAAGGGAATCTAGGGATATTTCCAGCAAGAACTATTCCTGAAAATATTATTGCCCTACTGTTAACATACAGGATGGGAGCATACTGCCCTCCGTGTGACCAGACAGACATCACCATCAACCCGACAGCTCTAGGTAGGTGCTACCTGGTGCTAACATCAGAAAGGAAAGTATTCTACCACTTAGGACCTGCCCCCTGTGCCTGGTGAATCCTAGTGTAGCCCCAGGGGCTAGAGTGCAGTGGGTCCCTACCTTGTGGAGGAGATCCTGTAGGCTGCATGCCATGATGCCCTTGCGCACACTCCGATCTGCAGTGCTCACTCGCCAGGGCCGGGCCCTGGGGGTCTCTGGAACGGCCTCGGACACCAGCTGCTGGGTCACCACTGCCTGGGTGCTCACTGCCATGTGCCTGGGGCAGTTGGGAACATCAGGATGCACCACCTGCAGCACCAACCCTCAGCCCACCCCTCCGTCCAGCTCATTATATGCTTTCTCTCCTCCCACAGAGCTCGCTCCACACAGCCTTACTCAGAAGCCTGCTAGTGCAGTGCTTCTCAAGCTCTGATGGGCATACAAGTCACCTGGGTGCTTGCTCCAGTGCAGATGCCAATTAGGTAGGTCTGGGTGAGGGCTGAGTGTTCAGGTGTCTAACACGTGCTCAAGTCCTGTCAATGTTGTTTGCTCTTGAACCTGGATCTTGCATCCAGATAGGCCCAAGTTCAAATCCTGCCACGATTACAGGTTTGCTAGGTAACTGAGAGCACCCCACTAGGTCTCAGTTTCCTCATCTATTAATTTGGTATAACAACCCCACTTCCCAAAGTTGCCATGAAGCTCACATGAGATCAGGAATGGAAGCACCAAGCACAGAACCTACCCCTTACTATCCACGCATGGTGGTGGTGGTGGTGGCTGCAATGGCAGCATTAATAGCCCCTGCGGCCTTGTCAGAATTGCAGAAGCTCAGCTCCCACTCCAACCCTCTCCAATCAAAAGCTGAACTTTAATAAGATCCCCACAGGACTTGAACCATTAAAGTTTGAGATGCTCATAGGGAGCTGTCCTCACCTGCCTGGGGACCTGGGGTAGAGAAGGCTGAGGGACTTCATGGCATAGTTCATCCTCATCAGCTGGACTGCATTGGACCTGAGAACAAGGAGGAAGCAGCTGGTTACAGTGAGGAGGAAGGGTTCCCATCTCTCATTTGACACAGTGAGCCCTGCCCTGGTGTCTCCAGACACACACACACACACACACACACCCCTCCCCAGTCCTTCCATCCACCCCCGCTCAACCATGACCAAGCCGGAGTCTCCCACCCCAACCCAATGTGCCACTTGGCCCCATGCAGCAGCTCACTCCATGTTTCTCTGCCCCTGGCTCTGTCACAGTGAACAGAGATCCTGAGTTGGGCTGAAGAGGCCCTGCCTGGTTTGCTCCTGTCCCTTGGGGTCAGAGTCCACTCTATGCTGGCAGGAGGTGAGTCACTCTGCCTCACACTTCTGGGAACCCCAAGGTCGCTTATAGTCCAGAGACTTCACAGGCAGCTAGCCTGGTCTGAGCTACTCCCTCCCAAGGGTCCTTGAGCAATTACCCCCCACCCCCGGCCCAGGCCATGAATTCCCTCTGCCCCAGAAGACTGCCTGGGCTGATTGAGAGGCTCCTCTGCACCACAGCACCTAGCCATGTGCAGCTCCTGAGCACTTGAAGTGTGCTTAATATGAGTAAGGAGGGTCGGGGATTTAGTTCAGTGGTGCCACTGCCTGCCCCAAAAGAGCAAGGTCCTAAGTTTGATCCCTGGTACCAAAAAAAAAAAAAAAAAAAGACTAAGGAGCTCCATGTGAAGTTTTCTTGAATTTTAACTAATTTAAAAGCCACTGTAGCCGGCTGCTCCTGGTACCTATATTGGACAGCACAGACCTAGGTAGGTACCCCTGGGCTCATCTGCTGCCACTGTGCCCCTAATACTCTATGCAGCAGCTCCTTCAAGCTCCAAGCCTTGCAGGACAGCTCCCTCCACCTGTAACTCCTTTCTCAGACCCAGAGCTCAACTTCTGTAGACTCAAGGCCCCAGTTTCACTGCTTTCTACTCCTTGGAAGCCCTATGACATGACTCGAAGAATGGCTCCTCATCCTGCCCCTCCTGGGAAATATGCCTCAGTGCCCATTCCTACTCTAGTCCCCCAGCCCCTAGGTGCCAGCCCAGTGGGTGCCTTCCCTAGTCTCAGCTCCCTGCACAGGGAGAGCTAAGATAGAGCAAGGGGCACAGACAGGTAAAATCACTCTTTCTTTCAAAGAGACCCCATAAAGGCCAAAAGCCCTCTTCCCTGCGAAGTGCTATTCCTCATTCCCTACCCCTACAGAGACCACCAAGCCCCACACATCTGCTCTTCAGGAGCAAAACACCCATTCCTCACCTCCCCCTCAAAGCCTCCTTGCAGCACTGCATGGCCCAGTCCTCCTTCCGTTTTATTTCCAGCTCCCACAAAGCCACTCCCTTGGCCTTCAGCCCCAGCTTGGGAAAGGAGCATAGGGAGCTGTCGCCTAGGGATTTCCAGCTAGCCTGACTTCCAGAAAAGGCCTGAAAGGAGGGAAGAAGGCATGTTTCGAAAACTTTGGGAAACACAATATCAGGCAAAGGGCACAGAAGCAGGCACATGTGCGCTGTGGTCCCAGCTCCTCCCATTTGGCTGTTTAAGCTTAGACAAGTTAGCTTACTTCTGTGAGCTGCAGTCTTTCTCTACTACATAACGGGTACAATGACTCCTGTTTGATAGGGTTGAGGATTTGTGATCATCGAAGTAAACGCTTTGCAACTTAGACATTTAATAGATGGAATGATTATTAGTGTTATTGATAATGTATTTATTCAATACATTTAGTGGAGATTAAAACCAGTTGAAATGTGTAGTGGTTAAGAGTGTAAGACGTAGCCAGGTGAGGTGGGGTACATGCCTAAAATCCAAGCACTCTGGAAGGCTGAGGTAGCAAGATTACAAATTTTCCCAGCCTGGGCAATTTATCGATTTAGTAAAAGCTTATCTCAAAATAAAAAAGGGCTGGGGATGTAGCTCAGGGAAAGGCCCCTGGGTTTAATCCCCAGTACCCGCCCCCAAGAAAAAGAGCATAAGATTTTTTTTTGAGACAAAGTCTTGCTGTGCAGCCCAGGCTGGCCTCAAACTCGTGGTGATCCTCCTGCCTCAGCCTCTGGAGTTCTGCAATTACAGGTGTGCACCACCACACTGGCTCAAAAGAGTATAAGATCTTATGACCCAGCCATTACACACACACACACACACACACACACACACACACACAGAAATGAAAACATATGTTCATAGGTCCACACCAAAACTTGTACACAAATGTTCATAGCATTATATGTAACAGCCAAAAGATTAACCTGTGACAGTTAATCTTGAATGTCAACTTGCTTCACTTGAGACGCTTGGGAGATATTATAAAGCACACTGCTGGGTGGGTCTGGGTAGTCATGAGGATGTGACCTTGGGGACTGTATCTGGTCCCTGTCCCCTTCCTCTCTGGCTCTTCCTCTGTCTCTCTGCTTCCTGGCTGGGATGAGATAATCAGATTTCCTCCATCATGTTGTTCTTGCCTTGAAGTCAGCAGACCATGGACTGAAACTGAGCCCAGTAAACCTTTCTACTTTACATTGTATATGTCAGGTATTTTGTCCAGAACCAGAAAAGCTGGTGAATACAAACCTAAATGGTTTATCAGCTGGTGAATGGATCCAAAAATGAAGTATAAGCTGGGCAAAGTAGTACACATTTGGATTCCCAGCTAACTAGGAGGCAGAAGCAGGATTATTGCAAGTTCGAGTTCTACCTAAGCAATATAGCAAGACATTTTCGAAATAGAAAAAAGATCTGGGGAGATAGCTAGGTAGTACAATGTCATTGGGTCTGATCAGATAGACACACAAACAGACACAGACACACAGATAGACACACACATACAGAAGTATATCCATAAATAGGGACTCATTTGTCCATAAAAAAAGATAAATGTTACCATGTGGATAAAGCTTGAAAACCTCATGGAAAATGGAAAAAGCCAGTCGTAATGTATCACACCATACTGAATGATTCCACTTATATAAATGCCCTGAACAGATAAATATAAAGTCAGAGAACAGATTAGTGTTACTTAGGGCTGGGAGTGGAGAGTGGGAGGAGAGAGGGGGAGTGGCCGCTAATTAGTGCAGGTTTCCTTTCCCGGAGACAAAATGTTCTCATCTGTTTCTATGATCACAATCTATTTTGGTGCAGGTTGCACAACTCTATAAATGTACTAAAATCACTGAATTTACACTTGAGTGGGTGGATTGACTGAATGACATATGCATTACAGTATATCTTAATAAGGTGTTTTTTAAAGGGTTAAGCTGATCTTTTTTTCCAATATGGGGCTTTTGCAATTTAGTTCATCAAAATCCCCGAGGGCTTCTTGAATTCAGGTTGCTGGGCCTTAGCCCTGAGTTTCTGACTCAGGATGACTGGAACGGGGCCTGAAAGTTTCAGTGCCTTTGTGTGGTGGTGGTGATGGTGGTGGCTGTGCTGGGGACCAAACACAGGCCCTCTGTGGGAACCCAGGTATGAAGACCAAGGCCTGGGTTAAACTCTCCTTGAGACACAGGTTTAAAGATAGCAAGCTTTCTCTCTCCCTGGTCTGTTTGCTAGCATTCCGGGACCAGCCAGTTTCAAAGAGAAACTCAATGGCAGCTAAAGTCTAATTAAAGAAAATACACATGTGAGGGGAAGGGAATGGGATAAAATGAAATTTATTTTAAAAATAAAATACACATTCAGGTGCAGTTTATAAATTATGAGAACCCGATAAACTTTCCCTGAATTCTGGGACACACGCTTGCTTGCTTCTCATTTGTAGGAGTCTAATAAAAGTGAGGAGCACTGTCACGTCGAGGCTCCTTTGTCCACTAGAGGCAAGAGCCCCCTGGCCCCCCTCTTCCAAATTATCTTTTTGTCTTTTGTCTTTAGTCCTTGTTTGCCCCCCAGGTCAGGATAAACTCACATCATGTGTTCTACCACTGAGCTCACCCTCAGCTGCAAATTTGCTTTCTAACCTGTTCCCAGGTACAGGTGAACCTGGGGACCCCACTTTGAGAAGCACTGGTCTAACACCAGCTACGTGATCTAACTTGTCTAAGTTTCAGTTTAGTCTAACTAATGGAGGTAAAAATAGCTCCTGCTCCTCAGATTCTCTTTCTTTCTTTGGGGGGGGGGACCGGGAATCGAACTCGGGTCCTTGGCTTTTGAGGCAAGTGGCGGAACCACTGAGCTAAATCCCTGGCCTTTTTTCATTAATTTTATTGGTACGTTTTAGGTATACAATATGCTGACATTCATTATTGGGAATTTGTACCTTTATATAATACACCTTGGTTCTTATTTTTTTCCCCATTCGACTGCTCTCTGTTCAACCCCTCCACCCCTTCTTATTTACAAAGATTTTGTTTTCATTTTCTCCTAGGTTTTCATGGAGATTAAATGAGATAATCATGAAATGTACTTGTCTCAGAGCCTATTCACCCTCAGGTCTCCAAAAGCAGCATTGTTATTTACATCTAAGTCCTTCCCTGCAGAAGCTCTCTGGCAACCCTGGGCCAGCCTTCCTAAGGACTTAGAAGGCACCAGGACACAAGATAGCTTTGTCCCCCAATTCCTGGGGGAGGGGAAATTCAGAGCAGGAACAAATATGGAAATGGAGAAACTAATTTCAAATCATGACGTTCTGGAAAGAAGACAGAACAAAGTAGTATGATAGTACATGGCTGGGGAGCTATATTGGGTGTAGCCTTACAGAAGATCTCTGGGGAGGTGAGCTTTGAGCTAAATTCCAGCTGGGGAGAAGCCAATCTTTTGAAGTCCTGGGAGCAAAATCAAGGCAAGAGAAACATCCATAGGAAGGATTTGAGAAAGGAAGAAGCAGGTTGAGGGGACAGAAACAGAAACAGCTTAAACCTCAAGGCAGACCAAGAGCCAGGGGAAAACATTTCAAGGAGGATGTTCTTGGGAAATGATTGGGCCCCTCCCATGAACATTCACACCTGAAACATTTCCTGACCACTCCCTACGAAGTCCAAGTGCATCATGGAAAAGGGCCAGAGGAAAGACAGAGATCATACAAGCAAAAGCTAGAGAGGCTCTACCTGGTGTGAGGGATGAGCCTGAGGACTCTTCACAAACATTTGTTAAACTTTTACACTATGCTTGGCACTCTGAGATGCTGGGGACACAGACGAATCTATTCTTGTCCCTGCCTTTGAAGAATTCACATTCTAGAGAGGGAGGTGATGTCTGAGCATGGTTCTCAAGTTCTGAAGTGCATGAAAATCATCAGAGGCACCTGGGAATGGAGAAGCACTCTAGCTACAAATCAAAATTGGGAACTTGAGCTAGGGGCAAGTGCGGCAGTACAAGTCTATAATCCTAGGAGCACTTGGGAGGTTGAGGCAGGAGGACCACTTGAGCTCAGGAACTCATGACCAGCCTGGGAAAAATAGCAACACTTGTGTCAAAACATAGAAAAACTGAGAAATTATAAGATAAAAGATTGATATATTCAATTATTTTAAAAAATATGCTATGTGTTAGTCTGGTAACACTATGACTAAAGTCAAAAGATGTGTAGACTAAAGTCAAAAGACCCATAGTGCATGCATGCATTGTAATCCCAGCAGCTTGAGAGGCTGAGGCAGAAGGATTCCTGAAGCTCAGGAGTTCATTGCCAAATGGGATAACATAGAAAGACTCTGTTTCTTAAAACAAAACAAAACAAAACAGGCACAAGCACTGTATGAACAAAAACTACAGTGAATGTTTGAATTTTTGCAAAATTTAATAGAGTAAAAGACATATTGCCATTAACCCCCTTCAATATACTGCTCTTCTGAGCGCTAGGGATGTTGTTCAGTGATAGAGCACTTGCCTAACCTATGCCCTGAAGCCCTGAGTTCAATCCCCAGAACTGCAAAAACAAAAACAAAAACAAACAAACAAAAACAAGTAGACTAGGAATGATCAAAGAGGACATCAGAAAATGGAAAAATATCCCCTTTCTGGAGAAGCAGAACCAATATTGTCAAAATGGCCACATTATCAAAATGGTAATGGTAAATTTGGCCAAATTACCAAAACTGATGCATAGATTTAAAGCAATCCCAATCGAAACACCAACAGCATTCCTCACAGAGCTAGGAAAAAAACTATCCTAGATTTTTATGAAACCAGAAGACACCCAAAACAGCAAAAGCAATTTTGGATGAGGAAAAAAAAACAAAACAAATAAAGAAGGAGGCATTACAGACTGCAAGTTATACTACAAAGCTACAGTGAGGAAAACAGCATGGTACTGGCACAAAAACAGACACACAGATCAATGGAACAGAAGATGAAGAAACAACCCCAGGCATATTAAGGCATCTGATTTTTTTTTCCCCCCAGTACTGGGAATTGAAGTCAGGACCTTGTGCTTGCCAGGCAGGCGTGGCACAGCTGATCTAAATCCTCAGCCCGAGTCATCTGGTTTTTGACAAAGGGTCCAAAGACATACTTTGAAGGAAAGATAGCCTGTCTAGTAAAGGGTGCTGGGAAAACTGGTTACACAAATGCAGAAGATTGAATCTTTTTTTTTTTTAATCTCTTTTGAGACAGGGTCTCACTATGGAGTTCAGGCTGGCCTTGAACTTACTGTGTAGCCCGGGCTGAGCTCAAACTTGTGATCCTCCTACCTCAGCCTCTCTGGTACTGGGATTACAGGCATGAGCCATCACACCCGGCCAGAAGATTGAATGTAGACCCATATCTCTCAGCATGTACCAAAATAAAATCAAAATAGATCAAAGATACAGATATTAAAACACTTAATCAGCTGGTAGATAAAATAGGTAAAACTCTTGAAGACATAGGTGCAGGAAAGAACTTTCTGGACACAACCCCAATTGCACAAGAAAATTAGCATCAAGAATCCACAAATAGAATCATATCAAATTAAAAAGCTTCTGAACAGGAAAGGAATCAATAGAGTGAAGAGACAGCCTACAAAATAGGAAAATTTTTGCTAGCCACTCCTCTTACAGAGGACTAACATCTACAATTTACAAAGAATTCAAAAAATCAGACCCCCAAAATAAAAGACTCAGTCAAAAATGGGCTAATGAAGAAGAAATACAAATGGCCGAGAAATACCTGAAAAAAATCCTCAACATCTCTGACGATCAGAGAAATGCAAATTAAAACAACATAGTCTATCTTACTCTTATCTGAGAAACCCAAAGTATACTCCTCGCTTCAAACACACTCATCCTACTACTCTTGCCACTTTCTGATGCAGTTCTGGAAGTTCTCTTTTGTGTCTGTAGTTGTGCTTGACCTGATGTTCTGAATCAATTTAAAAAGTATAACTTTTCACTGTAATTTTTACTTTAAGGAAGAACCAGAAGTCACACAGTGTCAGATCTGGTGAGTAAGGTATATGAAGACACCCCATAATGTTTTTATTTGACAGAAATTGCTGTAAACATTTTGAATCTATTCAGAACATTGAGGTAGGCACAAAAAGACACTCACAAAAGAGGACTTCCAGAACTGCTTCAGAAAGCGGCAAGAATGATGGGCTAAGTGTGTTCAAAGTGTGTGTGGGGTTAATCTTTGGGGGGATTAATGACAATGTGTCCCTTATTGTAATAATTTTTGAGAGGTCTCATTTTGTAGTGCAGGCTGGCCTTGAGCCCACTATGTAGCCCAGGCTGGCCTTGAACTAGCAGCTATCTTCCTGCCTAAGCCTATTGAGTGCTGGAATTACAGGCATGCACCACCACGCTTAGTTGTAATAAATTTTTATTTACACATTCACTATATTTCTTTTTTGAGACAGGGTCTTGCTGTGGATTCTAGGTTGGCCTTAAACTCACTATGTAGTCTAGGCTGGACGTGAATTTGCCACCATAGGCACACGCCACCATGCCTGGCCATTCACCATGTTTGTTAATCACACTTCATAATGTTGTAGCAAAGTGTAACAGCTCAGCGGTATAGCCAAGTGTTACAGCTTAGTGTCACAGCCAAATGCCACAGCTCTCAGGCACAGTTGAGAGTGACAGCTCAGTGTTATAGCTCTGGGTTGAGGTTATTGCAATTTGAAGACTGGAGAATCCGGTGATCACTTGAAAAGGTGGACAAAAACGTTTATTATGCCCCCAGCGGGCTCAGAGGAATTCATACTAGAACTCTCAGCACTCTACCAGAAATGAGAGCCTCTTTATATAGGGATCTATAGGGTAGATGAGCATGCTCACTAAAGCAGAGGGGCCAGAGTTATAGAACATTCTCACAAGGGGCCAGAGTTTAACAACATTCTTGTAAGGGACTGAGTTTAACATTCTTAGCAGGAGCTGAGTTTAACAGAACTTTCCTGAAAGGTCACACAGTTCAAACAGTCACAAAACATTTTGATACACTGACCAGGAGCAGTGCAAATTGTTACATTTCTGGATCAAAACAGTCCGTGGAAAAAAACACATGGAGGCAAGGCAAGGGCCTATCTTATTGTATACTATTACTATTGCACTATCAATACAAGCACATGCCACCACATCTGGCCTTAGTCTTGTCTTTTAAAATCCCAAAGCAATGGGAAGAAAGTGTTCAAATGGTAAGGGGAACAAGGGAGGAGGGAGGGAAAAAGAAAGGGACAAGAAAAAAAGTGAAAATAGAAGGAAAAAATGGAAATAAAGCTTTTGTACATGGGGAGGGGGGAGGTTTGAGGAGGGGAATGGGATAAAAAGAAAAAAAGAAAAAAGAAATTAGTGCACCTAGGTTGTATTGATAAAAATACATCTATTTGTATTTTTGAAGAAAAAAATGAATAAATAAAATCCCAAAGCTAAGGTTGGGGTTGTAGCTCAATGGTGCTGCACCCACCTGGCAAGTGCAAGGTCCTGAGTTCGATCCCCTGTACCAAAAAATAAAAAATAAAACCCCAAAGCTATGTCAATCACTTGTTTAAACCCTTTGGTGGTTCCCCAACACCCCTAGAATAGAGCCTTAACTTTTTTTCTTTTTGGTACCGGGGATCGAACTCAGGACCTTGAGCTTGCAAGGCAAGCGGAGGAACCACTGAGTTAATCTCCGGACTGAGCCTTAACTTTTTACTGCAGCCATCAAATGCTCTAGCTACTGCAAAGCCCTGGTCAGTTTTGGTGTTTCTCTTTCCTTCTGGTTGAACCCATGGCCTCTTGCATTCTAGGCTCTCTATCACGGAGCTACATTCCCAGACCTGGTCCTTGTGTTCTCGATGGAAGAATTCAGTGGAGACACAGAAAAGTGTTGTGAAAGCAAAGGCAGGATTTATTGCCAAATAAAATAGTGCAAGGGAAAAGTACGCCCTTAAGGGAACAAGTGAGCAACAGCCAAGGTGGCAGTTATAACGAATACAAGTTTAAACTTTACATTTTTTTTGTCAGGATGTTCTGTCTTTTCCTCTTTTAAGTGCTCTCAAATGTCAGTGAGATAAAAGTCCCTGACGGAAGTTATTTGTGCCAGGTCAGGCGAACCCTTCGCAGGTTTGCTAGGGCTGCCAGTTGGGTACTGTGGAGCATGTTGTCGCTGGGTGCGTTCCTTAGATTAAGTCTGTCTCATGTAGATCAATCTTGCATGCATCGTTGATCTACTTGGGCTTGTTTTGCTTTATGTAAATTCTCTCCATTCCTCAATGGAGAGAAGTGCTGGCAACCACAGTTCTACATTCTGTCTCTACAGATAATGTAACATTTTACTTGGAAATCATTTTTGCAAAGCTCAGTCCAGCTGTCTTTTATTGTCCTTCCGTTTGGGTTTTTCCATCATCTCTCCATTATTGGGTTCAGGTTAAGTGTTTTCAGCAGGACATCACACATCACAGAAGCGATGCTGTATCTCGAGGCGCAGGGTGTCCGCGAGGCTCGCGCAGGTGAAAACTCTTTCGGGGACTTGGTAACAGGATGGCCACTAAACTTCCTTACTGTGAATTCTGAATCGAAATACGGGAAGAAACTGTACACCGTATGACTGTATGCTGGGGCAAAGTCTCAAAATGCTTACAGGCACGTTTCTCAGTCTGTGAAGTGAGGACAGCCGCGCCTTTAACCAATACTGGAGTTTAAGAAAGCCTACAGGACCCGAGTTCGATCACCGTAAGCCCCCCCCCCCCCAGCCTTAAGGAGCAAGGCCTTAGGGATTAATTTCCCGCGCGCTACACCCGCAGAAGGGGAGGGAGAAAGAAGACGCATGCGCAGGGGAGTAACCACTGAGTCGGTGCCCGACCTCGCGGGATAGAGCGGCCGGAAGTGGCCCTCTCCAGCTGTGCAGTTACCCGCTGAGGGAGCTGGAGGCTGGTCGGTTGGGGTTTTCCTGGCTGCGTCGTTACGGCAGCTGGTCCGAGTGAGGGGCTTCAGGGTTCTGGTCAAGCACGATGGCGTCTCGGGCAGGCCCGCGAGCGGCCGGCACCGACGGCAGCGACTTTCAGCACCGGGAGCGCGTCGCCATGCACTACCAAATGAGGTAGGAAGCGAAGCGAGGAGCACGAAGGCCTTCCCGGCCGGAGCCTACAGAGCACGGGCGGCGACGCGGTGCTGCCTCACGGTCTGTCTCCGTCCCCTGTGGTCCCCTCGCTCGCGAGCTCCAACCTTGACCTGCCCTGTGCCCCGCGTGGTCTCCGGAGTCACAGCAGTGCTGCCCCCTGTGTGACCCTGGAAACCTTCTGTTTAGTCCAGCCTCAGTCCCTTCATCTGCACGGGGAGAAACTCATCTACCTCTTAGGTTTTGGTAGCTGTTAAATTTGGGCTGTTTAGGGGGAATATGAGCGGTAAAGTGTTCCTGACTAAAGTGAATTTTATAAACATGCCCACTGGGGTATTTCTACATTTGATAGATTCTTACAGATCTTCTACCCATCCTGCATCGCATGCATTAGGCACTGAGGATATAAAACTGAGTAAAAGCAACCTGGTTTTTTATTTGCACCTTATACCTTCAATAAAAAAGTTTACCTAAACCCCACTACTACCAAAAGACAAAACTGGTCCTGCTTTCATGGAACCTTAACTCTAGGAGTGACTGATTTTTTTTTCTTCTTTCCACATCTCCTATAATGAATATTTTAAAATAAAAAATTAAAAGCTTTTATTGTCTTTAAATCCATTTGCATTCTCCCCAAATGTTCTCCACATCTGTCCAGAGGTTTGTACAGTGGCAGGCTCCATGGACCCTCACTTCATTCTCAACCTTAAGCCTCACAACTCAAGTGCTTTAGTTTGTACACCGAGCAGAAACATTGCCCTCAGGAGTCCGAGAAGGACTTAAGAGTACATTTAGGACTTAAGAGAATCAGAAGAATAAGAGAAGTGTGTACTTCCTTTAGAGGAAAATCTATACCTGAAAAAGTATAGATAGCAAGAGCTGTTTTCCTTGTTGCCAATACGTTCTCACCCATCAGGCTGCACTCCTTTGATGGAAAGTCATCTAAACACAGCTAAGAGTCTGCTGTTAATGGTTAACTATTTCATAGTCTTTGCAACTCCATACCCCACTTACCCCACCAGCACCACACCCAATGTATCCTTGCTACGTTCAGTCACTTAATTTTTTTTTTCCCTCCCAGTACCAGGGATAGAACTCAGGACCTTGTACTTACAGGGCAGGTGGGGCGCCACTAAGCTAAATCCCTGGCCCACCACTTAGTTTTCTAGAACACAAATGTTTATACTTTGTTCCTGAATGCTATTACTTCTGCACAGAATGCCCACCTCTAGCCACCCCTCAGAAAGAACCTAGCTCAGGGCCAGGGATTTAGCTCAGTGGTTCCACAGCCTGCCTCGAAAGCGCAAGGTCCCAAGTTCGATCCTCGGTACCAAAAAAAAAAAAAGAACCTAGCTCATATCTCTTACTTGGTCTTCTCTGACATTCCATCAGTGCAGAATTTACTTTTCCCTCCTCTGAGTCTCTATATCTTGGAAAGAGCTTTTTTCACTTCATTTTCAATTAGTTTTACCTCCTCCTCAGCCCCATCCTCTGTCAGACACTGTATCATTCAAATTTATGTCCCTGTGTCAATCAAGTACAGTTATATAGCAAATAGTTGGTGGTCAGAAAAATTTCAATGAAACGTGCTTCTCCCTCTGCTCTGCCCCACAGTGTGACCCTCAAGTATGAAATCAAGAAGCTGATCTACGTGCACCTGGTCATATGGCTGCTGCTGGTTGCCAAAATGAGCATAGGACACCTGAGGCTCTTGTCGCATGATCAGGTGGCCATGCCTTATCAGTGGGAGTACCCATATCTGCTGAGCATTGTGCCCTCTCTCTTGGGTCTTCTCTCTTTCCCCCGCAACAACATTAGCTACCTGGTGCTCTCCATGATCAGCATGGGTCTCTTTTCCATCGCTCCTCTCATTTATGGCAGCATGGAGATGTTTCCTGCTGCGCAGCAACTTTACCGCCACAGCAAGGCCTACCGCTTCCTCTTTGGTTTCTCTGCTGTCTCCGTCATGTGCCTAGTGTTGGTTCTGGCAGTCCAAGTGCATGCCTGGCAGTTGTACTACAGCAAGAAACTCCTAGACTCTTGGTTCACCAGCACACAGGAGAAGAAACGTAAATGAAGTGTCCCCGGTGAATTGCTCTGAGAGGTGAAGCCTGGTCCTCCACTGAGCAGAGTGAAAGGGGTAGAGGAACTGTTTTAAAATATGGTGGTTTGAGAAGCAGGTATGTTGGCACTTAATACACACTAGGCCCAAGTTCTGGCCTAGAGTTCTGTTGCCATCTACTGAAGTAGCAAAATTAAACTTACTCCTGATTGGCTGGATTTGACTAACCAACAGCTGTGAAACAGACTTCAGTTGGGTGAAGTTGAAGCCCTTCAGAATTTTTCCTTAAGTATGAGCCTTATCCTAGCCTCCTGTTGGTCATTCTCCCAACTTTCGTTCATCACCTTTTAACCACCAAGACTGCAAATTTTACTTCCATTTGTAGGTCATGGGAGGGGAAACACCTGGGAAGCTGCTCCCCTTGCAAGTTGTGCTTTTTACTGCAGAACATTTTAATTAAGAATGAAGGACTGGGGATTTAGCTCAGTGGTTCCACCGCCTGCCCTGCAAGTGCAAGGACCCAAGTTCAATCCCCAGTACCAAAAAAAAGAAAGAATGTAAATAAAGTTAAGACTGCCCTGTCCACTTTGTGTGTTGTGTTTGGGATTAATAGAGCACAAAAAGGGTATTACTTTAATGACTTTAAGGATGAGTAGGAGCTCCTTGAGAAACCTGGTAGTGGCTGTAAGAAGTGGACTTGACATGGGGAACCTAAGTCATAACTGAACCTAAGTCATAAATCCTACCCTGTAGCCAATTGGCAAGAACTACCACAGGCCAGACATTTCATTTCTCTACTTTAGAATGGTCATTCTCATTTATCTAGCTTGAGTTATGCACTGTTTTAGTTGGATATTCATGTTTATCATTGTGTGTGTCTAAAACTATAATAGTATCCAAAAAGATTTTTTGGTTTTTGGTTTTTGGTACCGGGGATCGAACTCGGGTCCTTATGCCTTCCAGGCAGGCGGCGAAACCACTTAGCTAAATCCCCGGCCCTGTTTTGTTTTTTAGACAGGGTCTTGCTTTCTAGTTCAGGCTGGCCTTGAACTCACTGTGTATCCCAGGTTGGCCTCAAACTTGGAGTGATCCTCCTGCCTTAGCTTCCTGAGTGCTAGAATTACAGGCACATGCCACCAAGCCAGGCATTTGTTTTGTTTTTTGAGACAGGATCTCACTATATAGTTCAGGCTGGCCTTGAACTCACAGCAATCCTCCTGTCTCAGCCTCTTAAGTGCTGGGATCACAGGTGTGTGCCACCATACTTGGCTTCCAAAAGGATTTTAACATCTCTGTATAGGGAATATGTTAGCTTTCTATTACTGTAACAAGTACATGAGGTAAATCAATTTAAAAAGGCAAAGTTTAGACAGGCCAGTTTTTTTTTGTAACCGGGGATCAAACTCGGGTCCTTGCACTTGCACAGCACACGGTGAAACAACTGAGCTAAATCCCCAGCCCCTAGGCCCCATTTCTTGAGGCTTCCACCACTTCCCAGAAGAGGCAGTGGTGAACAAACCTGTAACGTGGGCCTTTGGGGGTATGGTATATATACCTAAACCATAGCAAGGAGATTACAGCTGAGGGGTGTAGTGCTGTACACATGAAACACCCACTGAGCATAGTATCTAATAGTGTGGAGCAGCTAAGAATAGAAGTGGGTGGGGCCAGGGATTTAGCTCAGTGGTGTCACCACCTGCCTGGAAAGTGCAAGGTCCTGAGTTTGATCCCCAGTACCAAAAAAAAAAAAAAATAGAATCTATGATAGTGCACATCTATAATCTCACCAATTTGGGAGGCTGAGGCAAGAGGATTGCAAATTTGACCCAAAGCCTCTGCAATTTAGTGAGACCCTGTCTCAGGAAAAAAGGATGAGGATGTAGCTCAGTGTGACAGCCCTAGCTTTAATCTGCAGCACCAAAAAGAATAAAGGAAAAAGAATCATAATTGAAATGAAATGTTCCTTGCACACTTGAGTCTTTCTGCACTTGACTATTATATGTGCATGCTTCACAGATGTGTAACCACAGAGCTCTGACCTTTTCACAATTGTCATTCTGTTTATTTTCTTTGAGACAGGTCTCGCTATGTAGTTCAGACTGGCCTTGAACTCACGAGGTAGCCCAGGCTATCCTTGAACTCACAGTGATCCTCCTCCCTCAGCCTCCCAAGTCCTGGGGTTATAGGTGTGCACCACCACACCTGGCCTTTTACTGCTTTTATTAATGGAATTAATGTGCATGTCTTTTTTTTTTGCATGTCTTTTCTATACCCCTTTTTCCTAGGCATGTCCAACCTGTGACCTGAAGACACATTGCCTTTTAAAAAAATATTTAATTTTAAAATATATTTTAAAATATATTTGGCCGGGGATTTAGCTCAGTGGTTTCACTGCCCACTGCCTGCTGTGCAAGCG